ACAGCTAATAAAAGGCACTACCCCTATGTGTAAGGTTATTTTTTCCCTTTTTTTTTAATGGGACCAAACTAATAATGAATGAGGCCCCATCTGCGAGAGGGACTTAACTCACAAAAATGGCGGTTTGGAGTTACAACTTGTAGACAAGATATTAAAGAATCAGCCAAGGGAAAAGAGACATTTCTGATGGGTTAATTTAGCCCTAAAGTTGGCTGTTTCTGGCGTCTATGCAAGAGACTAACTATTGAAATATGTGTGGGAGGGGTTTATGCCGTGGGTGGGGCCAGGGATTATTTCATCATAAAGAAAAAAAAAAGACAAAACAAAATACTAAATCATGAGTATATTTTTTTCTTTCTATTTCTTATTAACTTTATATATTTTATGTGTATTTTTCACTTATTTTAACAATTTCTTGTGAAAAATAGAATTGAAGATTTTACTTTTTTCAAAAAATAAAACCTTGTTTATTTTTTCTTAATGCCATGGCATGACAGAACTAGCCTAGACCTTTATTTTGATGCAAAATAATAATACATTCAACCACTTTACTCATTGCAATAAGTTATTAATTCTGAATGATTTGCTCAAAACTAAGATTTTGGGGTTAACCCCCTCTCGCATATGGGGTGGTGGGCAGTGTTACCGTTTGGCTCGCAGCCTTTGGTTCACATACCTGTTTTCTGAAGAAAACAAAGAAAGCAACGAATATTTTTTGGTAAACTTGCAAAAAATATAGTAGTGGTGTAATTGCATATAAATATCGGTAAATTTGTAAATGACAACATTGATTTCCAGGTGTTGATTTAATACTTCCCTTGGTCCCAGCTTCTATTTACTTAGTCATTTATTGAAAAAAATCTGCCGCGTCAGCATCTAAGGTCACTAACGGCGTATTTAAAATATAGTGATACTTCAAATGTCATGCAGCTCTGTGATAAAGTATTGTGTATTTCACAACATGAAAATGTAATAAGAAAATTGCCTACATTGCTCAGCATACGAACAATACTAACATTTTAGAAGGTTGAGAAATGTCTAGGGATTGCTGTGCACTGGGAACTCCTATTTCTTTTAAGTGGCTGAAATATACGTGTTACTCAGGTTTATGGTGGTGTAATATAGAAATAGATATATAAAGAAATAAAATCAAACGGTAATGTAATTTTATTTTCGACATTAGCCCTAAAAGATGAAATTCGAATCATGCGAACTTTTGGTTCGCAGAGCTGCGAACTGTGGTCCGCAAAGTTCGCGGTGTTATTTCCCGCGCTTTTTTGGTTCGCATTCTAGACGAAATTTGTACACATCGGCAACGCTGGCGGCGGGGCCTCATATAGACTGTGTGAACATTGCGAATAGAGAACTTGAAGCTTCGAATCCTTCAAGCTGGTATGCGAAGGGTTTCGTGATTCGAGTCTTGACTAGTGCAATTTGCACTTTCAGCAAAGCGAAAACGGTTGACAGGGAAATTTGATGGCGGAATAGCGAAGATATTCGACTGTCTTATCAACATTAAGTCTACTCAAGAGTACAGCATGTCAACTATTAACATCATTATTCATCAATTCATCCAGTTCACTTCCCCACAATCATTTCGTGTTACTATTCTCATAAATATCATTATTCATGTTTGAATTACTTTTAACGCCATTGCTGTAGCGGCCCCGGCACTGAAACATCCGCATGCACGATGACTGACAGTGACGATGGAAATGATGATAATAATCAGAATCAGTATCATGAAAATCATAGCAATAGTAGTGGTTTTGATAATACTGTAATCATTTTAGTAAGATAATAAAGATGATCACGATAATAATAATGGTAATGGTAACTAATAATGATAATAACAACAATAATAATAATGACAATAATGATGGTAATATAAAGTCAATAGCAATAACGATGGTAATAACTTATCTTGATAATGATAATCTTTCAACTAATAATAACAGTAATGGTAATACTAACGATGATGATAAATGAGTAATTATAGTAACAATAAAAACTGTACCAACACTGTTCTGGTTCAAAGATTATCACCAATTTTCAATTATAATCCCCCCCAACAAAATCCGAAAATCACAGACGCCAAATACAAAAATTACATCGACAAGACACATCTTTTAAAAACAGATTGTCTATAATCTCAACAAATTAACTTTTTATTATCAATAACATCAAGTTCTCACTTCGTTGTTCAAGATATCGAAAAGCTTATCATAGACGAGAGAACGAGCGTCAGTGGCCCAAAGGAAATCCAGGTGGCTAAAGACAGGATTCAACACCTTATAACTGGCTTGGAGTTGCGGCAGTAGTTTCTCGAGTCGGTTGATGTCCTGTGGGAAAGGGAATTTGAATCGATTTTGACAATTATTTCCGATGTTCTTTTTTCCTTATTTAATTCATAAGCGTTTATTCTTAGGATGATATGGTTATTGGGATTAAACAAATAAAACAATTGTGCATTTCCGTTCTGATGCCACTTAAGTCATCT